TATATATAATTAACTCTATTTCAAATTTATAGTTGTTTAATCTGAAATAAAATATAGGAATAATTATATATTACACATATATATATAATTAATTCTATTTCAAATTTATATTTATTTAATGTGAAATAAAATACAGGAATGATTTATATATCATTGTGGAAGAATTCCGGAATTTCGGAGAAAATGTTAATTAAATATTTCACAACTCATTTTCCGTTTTATTCATTCCCTATTACATTAAATGGTTTAGGTTTTAGTTAACAAACAAACAAATAAAAGTTTCAATAAAATGAATGAAATGAATTTCATCTCTTTTTTTTTTCAACAACAATGATAACAATTTTCATCCATCCGTAGAAGACAACGACAACGACAACGACAACGACGAAGGAGAAGGAGAACTACCGAAAATCATATCATCTTTTCTTTCTCTCCCTTTTCCTCTCTTCTTTCCGTTCTCTTTTTCTTCTTTCAACATTGGAAAAAAAGAAATAGAATTCGTCATAGCATTAAAAATGAGAACTGGGAGTTTTATACATACACATATATAATTGGCACAGTATTGTTTTCTAAAACCGGACCGGATACCGGATCAATATCATGTATAAACGATGTTGACATCATATATGTTACAAATATTTATAATACAAAAATGTATATAATAGCTTCATCAAAAAGTAATAAATAAATGATTATCGTTTGTTTGTCAATTTTATTTTGTTTATTTGTTTTCTTTTGTTGTTGTAAATAAAAAAACAAAAAAAAAAAGAATGGTTGAAGAAGAACGATGAGCGATGGATGGATACGGTTTAAATGAAATTTTGATGAATCATCTTTAGCTTTTCAGCTTAGTTTTTAACATTTTATTATTTTTGAATTTTTACTGACAGAGAAAAAAGTTTTTTAAAGTAAACAAAAGGTATGGAATGTTTACATATTGTTAATGTATTGTATTGATGGAATTGAATCAGATTTTTCTCTTTTTTTTTTCTATTTATTTATTTATTTATTTTATAAATTTTACCTATGAGATTTATTGTTTTTTTTTATTGATGTGAAAATTTATTACTAATTATTTGCTAATTAGTAATTAGGGATAATTAATAAATAATTGAGAAGGGAATAGCTATACCTTTTTTAATTAATTTTCAATACCTATAATTTATTCAATAATCAATTTTAATACGGAAAAAAAGCATTCCTCTTTATTATATTAAAAAGAACAGGATATTTTTCTACATGAAGAAAGAATTTAATAAGAAAAAAAAGGATAATATAAAACCGGATTACAGAAACGGAATGTAAGATCATCAAAAGGATAATTAATAATTTTTTTCTTTATGCAGTTATTTTTAGCGAAATTTATATTTTATAATGAAAGATATAAGGAAGAAGAAAATTTGCAGTATTTCCAACGAATCGATGTAAATCGAATTATTAAGCTAAATGAATAAAACAATCACATATGTTGGCATCGTATTTTTCATTGCATCTACACATCCATCCGGAAAATGTATCATATGCATATAAATCCGGAAAATGATCATATATATACAAATCCGGAAAATGTATCATATATATGTACAAATCCGGAAAATATATCATAATGAAATAGATAATATTGATAAGATAATTTAAAAATATTCTATAATTTTATATTTTTATAAATCTACAAAAAAAAAATTTATATTTTATAGAATAAAAAGAAAAAGAGAAATGTAAGTGATTTTAGAATTTGAAATTGAATAACTTTTAAAGTGCTATTTATCATAATTTCTTCGAAATGAAAAAACTGAAATTTAATGCTACAAAATGATATTTTAATAAAGATACCTGCATTATACTTAAGTTAAATTGATAAATACCTAAAGTAATTTTTAATTTACAATGATTATAAATCGATTAATTAATTAGCGTAAGATGAAAGGTAAAAAGCAAAAAAGGATGCGATAAATAGTAGTAGTTGAAGTAGTGGTAATAGTAGTAGTGATAGTTATAGTGATAGTATATCATCAGATAACATTATCATACCGTATCCTTCATTCTTTGCTACTAGTTATAAATTAAAGAGGTTAAGGTTATTTGAAAGGATATAGAGAATAAGTGATATTACAATTAATCCGTTTAAGAGAGGAAAAGAAAGAAAGAGAAGAAGAGAGAACATTGGGAGAAGTTTTTTTTTTCCCACTATTTTTTGTTTACTTTTTTTCTTTTTCTTTTATAATTATTATTATTTTTTCAAACTTTTTCTTCATAATGATATTTATTTTTAAGAAAATAAAAGAAAGGGGAAAAGAAAAAAAGGAGAGAAGAACGGAGAGACATAAAAGAAAAAGCCTTTTTTTTTGCAATGAATAGGAAAGAAAAAGAGAGAGAAGAGAGAAGATAAAGCTGTGATAGAATAAGAAGTGAAAAGTAAGTTTAGAAATGAGAGATAGAGTGAGCAGTAGTAGAGGAGATTATAACCTAAGTGATCGGGAAGAACATCTGGTGTATAAAAGTAATGATGAACAAATCAATAGATCATCATCATTCATAGAATATATCATAAGTTATTTTGTTCCTAAATTAATATTTGAGATAAGTGACAGATGAGAAATTGAATCCGTTCAATTACTACAACATAACAATTACCGGAATCCCGAATTCTGCTTCTCGATACTTTATGCTCCTTGTGATATGTTGTACTTGTCTCTTATCAGAGGAGCGGTTGGGTAGAGAGGAAGAAATGGATGGGCAGATTCCTTTCATATAGTAGTTGGCACGAGCAGACACTGGTTAACGCTTTAACACCGGCATAATTCCTTCTCCATTTCTTTCGTCCCGTTTCATCCGTCTGTCCCGTCTTGTCCTGTCCTATTCTGTCTTATTTTGTCTTGTCCTGTCGCGACCCATCTCGTCTCGTCCTGTCTTGTTGATGTATACGGGGTAGCTTTAGTGGCAGACCATTCTTTTCAAGTATATATATATGTATATGTGTATGTGTATGTATGTGTGTGTGTGTGTGTGTGTGTGTGTGTGTGTATGTATTGAGGGACTTTGGTAGGCTGGAAAGAATGTTCCTTCTTCCATTAATGATATTTCCTATTTTGTCCTCTCTCGTATATTTTCTTTCCTTATGTCCACCCTAAAGGTATTAGTAATAGCGGGTTATACTTAGAAGTTATTTAGTTTACAATTTGGCCTTTAAGAATATTAACCTTATCGGATTCTATTTTACTTTACTTCCATCAATTTAGTTAATCGATCATTTCACCTATGTGAGTGTAATATTCTTTAAATGAAGAAATCTAATTTCTTTCCGGATATTTCACTATAGTAATAATAGGAATTAGCGGGATATCGTGATGGTATCTTATGGGAATGCGGGAGAGCAAAGGATGAGAGAAGAACGGGGAAGGGCAAGAAATATAAGTGATTGGAGAAATCGGTATGGTGACATTTATTATCCCATCCCTCTTTAAGGATCAACTTTTGGAGTAGACTAAGAAATTTTCTCTTTCAGTGAGGGAGGAATGAAAGGAACGAGAAGGGGTGGAGAATATGCAAGCATCATTGTATAGTGCTGGGAGGAAGATGTTGGTGAATTGAGGGGCTAGGTCAAAGGTTAACCCCTGCACAGTAGTCGCGCCCACTACGACGAGTTAATAAGAGGTGTAGCTCGTTCAGATTGGCTCAAGTAGCATGTGGCGAAAGGTCAGATCGAGGATGGAGCTGTTAAGATGGTGGAAGCGACGATGATGATGATAATGGCTGTGTGACTCTGAGGGAGGGGAGTCGTCGGCACGACGCGGTACCCGTTGCTATGCTCAACAGCCCAATCGTCATCATTGTCGCCACGCCATCGCTGATGATCCTGTACGGGACGTATAGTAGTGACCAGCGATGATTTATATGGATGTGTGTGTATGTGTGTTACCGGTGCGAGGTAGCCCACGGTCAACCCGTAGATCCGAACTTGTGTTGAGATTTTTTTTCGAACATGAGCTCGGCACTCGGGTAGATTGCGTGCCACCATATCATTCCAACCCGTACCATTTTGCCCATACCATCCTCCTCCTATCGTTTTGTTTTTTTTGGTGGAGAGAGTTATCTTCAGATGCTGCTAACATTCTCAAATGGTAGCTTGCTCGATGAGGTAGTAGGTTGTATAGTTATGAGTTGTATCATATCGGAGAAACTGTCCAGCCTGCTAGCTTGCCGTGCGGGTCCATCATCCCTTTTTCCATTCTTAATTGACCGTTGTTGTTTTACTTGAATTCAGCCGACACAATCGACTATATTTATCTGCTAGTTCGATTTGCTGGTGATAAGGATGACTCATTTAATCAGGACCAGGCCATTAATGGAGAAACATAGGCCTGTATCACACGAAGACAAAGATTTCTCAATGATATTGAAACGACTGATGTTCTCCTTCTCTGATCATCATCGATATTAATGTATGATTTTCATTATTTATCGAATGCTTATCACAGATATGTATAATTACAAACCATTGTTTCTTCCTACTTTTTCTTGACGGTAGTTGTGTTTTTGATTTCAACCTTCAAAGAGAAAATGGGATTATCGGGGAGTTTCTTTTTCTTTTTTTTGGAATTAAATTAGGAAGAGAAAATTTTTCGTCCTGAAAATAAACGGTTGAAGACAAATCATTAATTCTACAAATTCAGTGATACTGATACCGAGGAGAATAGGATAGTTCTTAAATTAGATAGTAAGGAACAGGTGTTCCGCTTGGAAATAATTTTTAGTTACCAAGCTATTCATATTGCAATGGGTTGTTAATCCTTTATTTGATCTGCCGGCTTCATTTAGTTGATTCGGTAAGTGAAATGAAATTCTTATGATTATATGAAGAAGATCGATCATATTAACTGTTTTTATCTAATACTGGTTGTATTTTTATGACTGGAATAAACATTTCCAGATTTATTGAGTTTGCATTACATTTGCCGCATCTCTCCTCATCTACGGAATTCATGAACTCATTCAAGCATGGCAAATTATTTCTTACCGATCTTGTTGAGTAATATATTTCTATGAAGTTGACAGATGTATTGGTCGCACGGAAACATGCAATTCTAGAAATATTCCTTAAGGAAAAAAGCGGCGTCAATTCTTTCATGTTTTGCGTTTCCGGATTCGCAAATTACAAATGGTTAGTTGGTAGAGGTCATGTCGGTTGCGACATCAAACATCCATTTCCTTTTGACCGCAAAACTTTTGACATCGTTATTCGTTATTTCTTCCCCGTCCTGTTTGCTCCTGTATCTTTTTTCTCTTTCCCTCTATCTTTTCCCTTTCCCTCCGTTTGTTAACTTTGATGGATCCAGAAAATTCCTTTTGGAAAAATTTTCCCGTGAATGTTAGCGGATGTAAAGGAAAGGAAAGGAAAAGATAAATGATCAGTCAAGAGAAATTACGGCAAAATTTCCGAATTGTTGCGACGAAAAAAACTTGCAGCATAATTCAAGTATTAATGAAAAATTCATGCAAAAGACTCGAAATCAACGTTTAATGGTTAATTTGAAATAAAACATGCATGCAGGAATTCCCGAGTCTGTTTAGGTATCTCATCTGACCTCAATTAACGGGTTTCAAATATAACTTTATATAACTGATAAAAATTTCGAATTATTTAACCTTGAACTACCGATGAGTGGCAAATGTCTGTTATCATCAATGCTATAATTATGTCTAAGATTTGATGAATTTTTGCATCAAAAAAATTGAATTTCAAATACCAAATAAAAAGTATGGAATGTGAAATTTTCCTACTTTAACAATGCTTTTCTTTATTTCATAATTCCCATTTGTTTTCTTTATCCATTGAAACATTAGGATAAATTTATTGTTTATTAAAACTATATCAAAATAGACGAAAGAATTGTAATGCTTTGTTGACAGTGAAACTTTTATGAGATCAACATTAAGATAAATTTATTGTATATTAAAACTATATCAAATTAGACGAAAGAATGTAATGCTTTGTTGATAGTGAAACTTTTATGAGATTAATTGGACCATATGGATCAATAACTGTAATACTGATAATATGAATGTCATAAATGATGAATATCATCATCCTTAACAGCAATAATTGATCATTGTCCTTGAAAAAAAAAAACGGCACTAATGTTGTATAGGAAGTAATCCAATATCAGTTATCATATCCCCATTTTATAGGTTTCCTTCTTTCTTTTTTTTTTTTCAATTTAAGAGATTACTTTAGATAAGTTAAAATTTCACAGTCCTAATTTTGTTTGTCAAATTAAAATTTTAGCTATGACATTTCATAGTCCTAATTTTGTTAAATTTGAAATTTTAGCTATGACTTCAATTCTGTCATTTTTACCACTTTTTTTTTCCTCAATTTTTCTTTTACGATATTATTCAATGAATTGAAAATGAAAATATCAGATGATACCATATTATGCAAATTTCATCTTTTCGCTAGTAATATAAATTTTTACCAGTTTTTTTTCCCAACGAATATTTTCGGAAATATCAACCTGAAATTAAAAACAAATAATTGCTTTGTCAATCTGAAATTAAAAGCGAATAATTATTTTGAATTACAAATCGAACAACTACAACATTACTTCTTTTCTTAATTCAAATCATTAGTCTAATTGTTTATCTTCACTATAATTTCGCTTTTTTTTTTGTGTAAAAAAATTATTCATTTCAAAATACGTAAAGTACGATTTTGATGTTTGAAAAATTTTTTGATCATAACAAATGACATCCTTAAAAGGGCCTTAAAAGGTAATACGTCAAAAAAGTGAACGTATTTTTTAAGAATTTTTGAAACGTGAAGTTTTTTTTTTTAACGAATAGTAAAGAAACAAAAGTTATCTTAACTATATGAGTGTAAAAAAATTATCTTAACTATATGTCATTTTATCTTTTGTTTTTTTCTATCAAAAAAGAGTGCACGTGAAATATTTTTAAATGAATACAGTTAGAATCGAACCTGCTACAAATTAAACTACTTTAAAATGATAATTAATATTGATTGCAAATTATGGTGCTTCATAATCATTAAATTCAAATATTACTTTTTTAATGGTATACATTTTGGTATTGATTTTGCTATACTACTTATTGGTGTTTCTCATAACTTCGAATCTCGGAATCTGTTTAAATACACATTCAATCAGAATCTTTCATCACTCAACATTAGTGTTATCATCGATGAAATGGAAAAAAAATTCGCCTTCATTCGATTTTCAGTTTTCCCAATATAAAAATATGACTTGCAGAAAAATTACATCTGAATTCTCTGAAATAATATAAATATTTCTCCTATATTATTGATTTTTTAATCTTTCGAAGTTATATTTGATCATCGATGAAATCTTCACAATCCATTTTTCCTGTATAATTGCTAATTGGACGAAATAAATTAATTTGTTCCATCCACTTCACAATTCAGAAGTATTGGCTGATAGTAAAGATGTGAAAACATGATATGTTTTACTTGCGGATGAAATTTTTTCAAATGAAATTAGAAAAGAAATTTTACAAATTTCTAAAACTTTAGTTAAAAAAGTTTAATAATGAAAGCATGGAATTTAATTTTTAAATTACATTAGAATTCATAAAATTCATATCATACTTTTAAAATTTTGAAAATCATACAATATATTATCATCATATATGCACAGTAATACTCATCAACCTGAAGAGAATGTTAATTATTAAAGTGCCAAATATTTATATTGGCAATAGAAGCATCATCAATAAACTTGATGATGCTTCTATTGCCAATATTTGAAAAATTGTAAAATATTTGAACAATGGATTAAAGTAAATTGTAAAAATGAAAAAACCAGATTTCAACATCCAATAAATTCAATAAATTTTTTGAGAAGTAAAAATCATTAATTTAAAAAAAAAAATTATAAACTGGACATTGTAATGTTTTAACAACAGATGACATTTGTTTTCTACTGCTTACAACCACGACATTTTACCGCAGATATTCTCGAAAAGACATTTTCCACAGATATTCTCGAAAAGATATTTTCCTCAGATATTCTCGATTTTTCCACTGCTTACAACCACGACATTTTACCGCAGATATTCTCGAAAAGGCATTTTCCGCAGATATCCTCTATTTTTCTACTGCTTACAACGACGACATTTTCCGCAGATATACTCGAAAAGACATTTTCCGTAGATATTCTCAAGTGAAATCATTTCAGATCTAATCAACTGGCAATACTTCATATTTTTTGAATTTCAATTCTGTTAAAAATTCATGATTTTTTTCTTTCCTCTTTTTTTTCCTGCTTTTTCCTTTTGTTTTTTAAAATTAACATTATGCCACTCTAATTAAAAAGTGATGAATCATGCATTTCTTTGCTCCTCTTTTCATCAAAGTTTCATCGAAATTTCTATCAAAATTATATTAAACTTCAATTACAATTATAATGAAAGGAAATTTATTGAAATTTTAAAAAAAGAGAGAGAAAGGGAGAGGAAGAGAGAGAGAGAGAGAGAGAGAGGAGGAAGGGGAATTGAATGATTAAATAATCTATGAAGTGAGAAGAAAATCGATATGGAAGCGGAAAAAGAATGAAATTCCGGAAGAAAGAAAATTTAGCATGGAAAAGATTTTAATTTAATAACAAATTTCGATTTCTTTATAAGATTTTTGAATCAAAATGAATAAAGATTCAAAATTAAATTACATTGAAATTCCAGAAAGTAAACAAGGTAAAGGAAAGCGAAATCAAAATTAGTAATGAAAATTAATTTAATTTAACCAATATCAATTTAAGCTTATCAGTTTGCATAGGAAAATGGTGGTGCTCCCGAATATATATTCACTCTATCCGGGTTTAACCTCTTTTGTATCGTATCGCCTTAAGGCCCTTCACACTACCTGAAGGCCCAGAGAAAAGTAAGGATTAATGAAAAAGGCATTGCATCGAACAAAGAAGTGGACTGTTAAATCGTTTCCAAATTGACCGGAATTTTGGTGCAAAATTTTTTTGATTAAATGTTAAATCTCTGGGAAGTGGCGGTATTTTTCAAGGTTAATAGGCAGGCTATCATGTCGTGAAATTATGAGAGATGCTAAGTTGCGAGGCTTATGAATCAACAAACCGGTATTTTCTATATTTTCTCTTGTATAACATGGAATGATAATTACCTACTAATAAAATCCCTTATTCTTCCTTAACGCTGAACGCTGAAATTTTGTTAATAAGCGGATCAATCAGTCAATCGATCGAACTTTTGTTTGCGCTTATTATATTACGTATTTATGCCTAAATGTATGATCTTTTCAACAACTTCCCAAACAGTGCCATTTAAGGACTCACCCGACTAAAGTTTAAGAATAATGGAAGGCAGCATACACACAACAGCATGCACTCTTTAAGTTTGCGCTTGTAAAGGATGCGGTATTTCCACATTGCATTTTTCTTAGACAGATAAAAATTTTTCATGTCGTCCTAGGCATTTTATTTAACGAACCGCATTTAATAAGAGATTCAAAATTTCGACATTTTTGGGAAAGTGATGGGGGAGAGGATGCGCACAAATTGATTGTTTGAGTTGTTGGGATTATAGAGCGGACGCGAGGTGGGATAGGTGCGTTATATGTCACGTACGTTGAGACAATATCGTCCTATATGTGTCATTTATATGGAGATTTGGGGTTAAATTCCATGAAATTTTCGTCTAGAATTTTTAAATGCATTTTCTGCTATAACAAACGAATGAATTAAGCTATTTTAGTGTATGCGTCAGTTTTAAATTCCAAGCCAATCAAACGTTATTCTTTTTTAGGCATCACTAATATCTCTCAATACTGACTACTAATCTACTAATTTCCCTCTAAACAAGAACTCCATTCCAAGTATATCTATTCATTCTATTGTCACTTGGTTTCCGTCACAAATATGGCTCTGTCTTGTCTATTTGTTCCAGTTTTTTGAAGTGTAAAAGTGTTATCTAATTGTTCTGTGTCTTATCTAATGTAGTAGTTATCTGGATGACAGGAGAAATTTCTGATCAACTTTTCAAATACTAGTATAGCATCATAGGCTTTGATTGGATAGTTTAGTTTTGAACTAAGTAATTAAATCTGGTTCGTAGGTAGTGAATGAGCTTAGGTTCTTCGGGGGGGGGGGGGAGGGTTGAAGGGAAAGTAATTAGATAACTTCCATCCCTCCTCTGGCTCATATCCCATTAAACCGATGCTTCGTACGAATTTTTAAATGTCCTGAGCTGATTGTGCATTTTCTAATGCTTAGATTATGCAAATTGCTGTAATAGATTAGTTTTGACTAACAAGTTTAATTAGATTGATCGTAGAAAAATAGTCAGAGATGAAGTCTTAATGTTGTAGTAGTTTCCTTAATTCCATATTAATCCCCAAATATGTATTGCAAATGTTGTTATATTACTCATTCCCTTGTAACAGATTAATAGCAGTGAACTGGAATTGTTCTAACAAATTTTATTATCATCAGTATTATGTTTGAATTCTGTTTGTTGTTAGACTTAATGAGATTCAGTTTGGATGTTTGTTCTTTTCAGGTCTTGCCCTGCTTTACTGTCGCTTCAAAGATCTAGGGAGATAACTGTGATGAATCGTGGTAGTGGACGTGATAAATTGTAGGTGTTGCACATTACAAAATTTAATATAGCAGTTTTGAAGATATTGTGATTTGAGAAACGTTATTTAACGTAATTTGCAGTGGTGGTGGTGGCAGTCGTAGCTTTAATAGTCGAGGTGGTGGAAGCAGTGGCAGCCGGGGAGGTATTGGTGGTCGCGGCTGTCCACGTAGCTTCAGTGGCCGTGGCGGTGGACCAGGTGGTAACCGTTTTGGTGGTGGTTTCGGCGACAGAAAATATGATTTTGGTAAGAAGTTCTTACACAGTTCTATTTTTCTTCTGATATTTATATCGTCATCTGCTTTCACTGATTATATATCCTCAAATTAGGCTATGTAGCATGCTGGTATAAGAAGTCTTGAGATGTTGGATTTTAGGAAGTCGGAATGCTTCTGGTGGTAACAGTCTTCGCCCAATTGATTGGAGTCGTGAAAATCTTCGACCATTCGAAAAGAACTTTTATCGGGAACATTCTGCTGTTACGCGCAGGGAACAGGTTCGTTCTTTCTAGTATAGTATAAATAATTTGGGTAGGATTGTAGAAAACAAATTATTTAGGAATTTGTGAAGCAGAATATTGTCGTATAGATGTTAATGTGTTTAACTAGATAAAAGTATCTGTTTATTGTTGCTTTGAGGCCTAAATTATACATGTAATAGGTTGTAGGTATAATTTGAGAACTTGAAGTTTTGTTAATGAGTATTCGCTTGAAATGCATTTTTTCAGGTTGAGATAGACAAGTGGTTTACGGATTACCAAGTTACCGTTGAAGGGAATGATCTTCCTCGTCCAGTTTTCGATTTTAAGGAAGCAGGTTTTCCGCAAGTTCTCACAGATATGCTTTTTGCAAATTTCCAAAAACCAACAGTTATTCAATCGATATCATGGCCAATTGCATTGAGTGGTAGAGATATGGTTTCAATAGCAAAAACTGGTTCCGGAAAGACTTTCGCGGTACTTTTTGCCCTTTCAGCCTATGCAAATTGAATTTGACAACATGATTTTTCTTGCGTAACGGTATTTATCTACCGATTCTAGCTGTCTATATATATACAGGTACTATGGTGTGAAAATCTGTTAAAATGCTGTTCATCTTTGGACTAACGTATTTTTTCTAGTTCATTCTTCCGGCAATTGTTCACACAGCGGGACAACCACCGCGAGGTCATCAAAAGAGTCCATCAGTATTAGTGCTTTTACCAACCAGAGAATTGGCTCAACAGGTCGAAGAAGTAGCGAAAGATTACTGCAGAGCAACAGATCTCTCGATAACATGTTTATTCGGTGGTGCTCCGAAAGCCGCACAAGCTCGTGATCTTGAAAGAGGTTCAAATTTTCTTGATTTTTTAGCAAGATTTTGCAAGGTGTTACTGTTATTCCTAATGAGAATCGTGAAGTGTGAAAGCATCCTAAATTGTGTATTATTATGGAACTGTTTTAGGTGTTGATATCATAATTGCGACACCAGGCCGTTTAATGGATTTTTTGGAAGTAGGTAAAACCGACCTTCGACGGTGCACTTATCTGGTACTTGATGAAGCTGATCGAATGTTGGATATGGGGTTTGAACCGCAAATTAGAAAAGTTGTTTCACAGATCAGAGTACGCATTCATTCGGCTTTTTCAACACTTAAACAACATTTACCATCATTGCTGTTCTGTGAAACATCCTGGAATTATATGATTTCAGCCTGACCGACAGACGCTCATGTTTTCGGCAACTTGGCCAAAAGATGTTAGAAAATTAGCAATGGATTTTTTGACCGACGCAGCGCATCTGAATGTCGGCTCTCTGGAATTATCTGCAAATCATAATATAACACAGATTGTTGAAATTATTGATGAATCGAATAAGCAGCAGCGTCTTATGTCTATTCTTAGTGACATTATGAATAAGGTATCAATTTATAGCTGTTTATGCTTTGCCTATATACATTACAAAGGCTTATAAATTACATTTATTTTAACAGAAACTAGAAGCTTTTCTAGTATTAAACAATGTGGGAAGGTCAAGCAGATGCGTATCTCTTTTTCTAGCAAGCCTTTGCTAGTTTTTTTTTTACTTCGGCAGAAATGCATGGCAAAATAATTCCCAGAACCGAATATCGTGTTCATCAGATCAATTATGAGTCAATAAAATTTTAAGTGTGGGAAGTTTTGGAAAGTTTTTTGGATATGAAATTTGGATTCATCATGTTACATATCCATTATTCAAAAGCAAATCGTTTTAGGAGGATTTTAAAACCATAATTTTTGTGGAAACAAAGCGCAAAGCAGATGATTTGACACGTTGGATGCGACGAGACGGTTGGCCGGCTTTGTGTATTCATGGTGATAAAGGTCAATCGGAGCGTGATTGGGCATTGAGTGGTAGGTTTTATCTTTAATTTGTCCTTTATCTTTAATTTTTTTTTTTGCTTTGAACTGAAAGAAAAGGAAGTCGATTGTTCTGAGGAATTTTGTGTAATGGAAGTGAACTTTGAAATCCACTGTCTTAATCTCTTTTTAGTCATGTTTCGAAATTTTTGATCAATTTTTCAGAGTTTCGAAGTGGAAAAACGCCAATTCTATTAGCAACTGATGTGGCTGCTCGTGGATTAGGTAAGTTGCTTTGTCTGGGATGTTTCAGAAGCATTATGTGATGGTATATATCTTCGGAAGGTTTATGTCAAGAATATTAACGAGACTAGCATTCGGCGAGAGTATTTTCATATGTTCGCTTGAATAACATTCAAGTAGATAGAAATAGAGTATCTTCTGATTACATGCGTATACATTGAGCTCTTCGCAGCAAGTCAAATGGAGCAATGTGTATTCATTGAACTCTTCGCAGCAAGTCAAGTGGAGCAATTTTTCATAATTAAGAGCAGAAAACTTGCTCTTTCATTCGTCTTAATATATTGTTTATTTTGGAAATTTAAATATTGGTGATCTGGGATGAGGAAGCTTTGTGCTTGTGTTATGGCTCTGGCCAGTGACTACTCTAGCGCGCGTAAAATGACATCTCATACTTATTCTGTTTTTTAGTCATAGTTCTTTTATGTGAAGTTATTTTTTAATCTTTTCTAACAAGTAAATATGATTTCTGTGATTCATACCTTAAGATAATTCATATTATTTTTCAAACCGCATCAGTTGAATTTTGTAAAGAAAATTAGAAAAGAATGAAAAGAAAGAGATGAATGCCATCAGATTCACGCGCAAACAGAGGGGTCATTGTTGCTGCGTGTGCAGAATGGTCGTCAGCTGAAGGGAGGAAGTGGTCCGCGGTAAAAAAAAAAGAAAAGTTGGGCTGCATCGTACCTTTGCAGTTTGGGCCTCTCAGAATTTGGAGGCTGGACCACCTGTTGCACACGCAAATTCATCGACAAGGAATTTATTTGTTATGGATTCAGCTGCCACACGACACAGCTTCCTCAACTTGATTACAGAGTGACGCACTTGAGAATCCAGGTTAGATTTCTCACCAATCGATTCTCCAAGTTATTGTCACTTTCCGATATTTTGTTAAGAAACAAAATAGGTGCATCGTTTGTTGCGAAAGATAAATGGTCATATCGACCTTTTTATATCTGAATATATCAAATGTAAGGATGTAACTTTGGCTGACATGAAAGGTCGGATAGTTTCGTAAGTTTATTAATCTGTTTTTATCCTTTGCTTGTGTAGCGAAGGAGACTTCATTTTGGAGTGGCAATTCATTCATGAAATCAGTTACAGTGTCAAATTAACCAATGTATACCCTACATTTGTTTAACATTTTTCTTTTTTTTTCAAAAACATCGTTAATTTAATGGCGAAGAATCCATTTAGCGACTAGATACTTACGCTACAACACTAACTCGTGATGTACAGAACATGTGTGTTGAGACGTCTTAACTAAATTAGTTTGATGGTTAAACCCATGGACTATCCGACCTTTCCATGTGTATGACTTTATCGAGGAATAGTGAAGATTGCTAATTTTTGCATTGGATTTTGCTCTTATGTTGGTTTTTCAACACTGTAACATACTCTCGTCCAACGAATGCTATACCGGAATTTCTACCGGCTAATTACAGATATAATGGACAGGCATGAAAAGTGGAAATTTGTCGATTTTAGAATTATTAAAATTTAAATTCAGATGTCGATGACATAAAGTACGTTATAAACTTTGATTACTCGAATAATTCGGAAGATTATGTGCACCGTATTGGTCGAACAGGACGACGTGATAAAACTGTAAGATCTCTATTCATCTTCTGTTAGATTTTCGAATTTACGTCTCTATTATTAATAATTTTTAAAAGATCCAGAAATATGGTGACCTTTTTCAGTCCATTCTCTTGATTAGAAGCGTAACAATGTTCTTTCAGGGCATTGCATATACATTCTTCACCTATGCAAATGCTCCAAAAGCGAAAGATCTTATAAAAGTTTTGGAAGAGGCGAATCAGAATATACCTCCAGAATTGCATCAAATGGCAAAGGATAATTTCAGTGGCGGACGTGGAAGGTGAGTTAGGGTCGTGTATAATCTGGTGAGGGGGAGTTCTGGCCAGCCTGTTATATGGCTACTTGGTCAAGTTCGGGATTTAGGGTTTGAGAGTTGTATTAGTTTAAAAGTTTGATTTCAGGTTTTGGTTCCCCAATTTCATGTTATAAGTCCAATAATTTTAGATATGGTGGAGGTTACAAGCGAAATTATGGTGGAAGCGGTGGGGATTTCGCCAAGAGGCCTCGATTTGATGCGCCAACACGAATGAGTTATGGTGATGGATGGTGAGGATCGTTCATTTCCACATGTCAAGCAATATTGCACGTATTTCTTCGAAATTCATGGGTCGGATGTCTTAAGGACTCTAGGAGGGTATTTCGAGGATAGTTTTGAAAGTGCAAACTGTTCTCGTCTAACTAACTTCGTAATTGTGAATTGCTTCTTTTTGTGTTTATATATATGAGAGACTATTCATTATGCTATTCTGTAACACTAAATCGTTGATGATCTTTGGATTTATTTCTGTCGAATCTTGTTGTAATTGTATTAATAGGTCCTCCCTATTGTGTGTTTGTTGTCATCATTATTTCGTCTTTGCATGAGTGTAATCATCGCTGGCTCTGAAGTATTGATAGCGTAGCTGCTGGCGTGATAATGCACAATTTGTTTCCCTTACTAAAATTATTTCCAAAACAGCTGAATGGACATGAAGAGGGATTTGTAAATTGTGAGGGATGAAGCAACGAGCATCAAATTAATAATGGGCATTTTCCTTAAAGATTAGAAAGAAGAAGGGATAAGTGCCGAAATCCGAATTATATTGCAGTTCTTTTAACCCAAATTCAGTTTGGCATCTCAAAGTTAAATATTAAGCTTCTGTTACAAATACGGTTGAAAAAGAAATTTCTCTTTTTTTTTTTTTTGTTACATGGCAATAATATCAGTCAGGATATTCACGATAATTGAAGCCAGCATGAGCCATATACGGCATGCGATGTATACCGGTGAGTCCACTTTGCTGTTCCTTGGTGAGGGTAAATGACAGCGATTCTGGTGGTGGTCTTTCTGGTTTCAATCTAAAATTACTTTAAGTTTCAATTTAAAGCGAAAAATTGTCTAGCAGTGAACTGAAGCTGGAGAGCGCCTCAACTGGGAGAATGATAAAAAACCGGGGAGAAATCAAGAGAAGCAGCGACGGTCTGATAGTAGTGTTAACAATATTTGTGCACTGTGACTGCTGCTCCAGATGCACTTATTTCGAGAACGAGTCTACTGATTCCCATTGGTTGTTCAAGCATGTCTATAACTAAATAGAACATATGAAGTCATCTACATTCTCGGTGGCGGAAGTCTTCGTATTTTTCGACCCAAATAGCCATCTTTCTTTTGGAATAGGCCGCTAGCCATCTTGTAGCCGAAGCGTCGGTGCATTTGTGCTGAGCCGAAAATTTTGTCATGGAATTCTGCATGTGACAATCTGCCAACTGTAGCCATGCATTCCTTTGACAGGACAAACTCGTGTTTGTGAGGTAGCTGGAAAAAGCAACATAAATTTTTGGTAATTTGACATCTCAGTGTGTAGAAGTACTACATCATTTTTTGATTCTCTTGTTCGGTGCCTCTCGTTACTGCGGAAGAATTTGTCAGCATTTTGGATTGTAGATTACAGCGTATATTGAAGTGTGAGGCCAGGCGATTATTACTTACAGGCGAGTTATAATAAACTTTACGTCGTAGTCCCTCATAATAGAGATAAATTTCCAATTAAAAGTTTTTGTATATTATTCGAAGAGTCAAATTAGAGCTTTATAAATTAGAAATTTAAAAAACTTACCCTGATAATAACAAAGTCACCCTGATGCCTGATAATCTCAGCGCATGTGCCAGCGGTAACAATAAAGACGTCATCATCCATTGAAGGATATTTCCGTTCATTTGGGAACTTTTCCACTGAATTAATTATTGAACCAGGTGCCAACGCTCCTAACGGATATGCATTACCTTCTTTCCCTATGATGAAATTATTGAAATTACAACAGCTTTGCAAATTTATCGATCTAAAGAACTTGGATTCTATTTTAGAAAAATCTCCCAACCTTCCTGAGGACTTTCAGGTATGTAACACGTTGTACTGATAATTTGTCCAGCCTTCATATTCTCTGTTGCTAATATCCACCGTTTACCTTCCCAACCAGCAACCAGTGCAATAAAACATGTTCTATTCGGATCTCGTCGTACTTCAACAACCTTAAATATGCTAGAATAAATGCCTTTTAATGGCATAATTTCACTATCATATGTAACTAACTACATTTAAATCATTAGTGATGTACATTAGTTATTTTTGGTACTGAATATCATTTTATTTTAATTGATTTTCTGCAAGTTGGAATTTTCTTTCTTATTACTACATCAATAATTAAAATTTAGCAAAAACTAACAATGAAAAGGGTTAAATGTCAGTCAGTCAGAATTTCTTGTGCAGCCAAAGACAGTATAAAAAAATGTCTTGAAAAAATCGTTACCCGCTCATCATAAGTAGCATCAGGCTCTTTTGGCCCACGCCGATGAAAATCGACCATGAAATAGTCGAATTTGGTGCCACCACCGATATGCTGATTGACTTTACGACCTGCCAAAAGCGACTATTTCTTTCGAATTTAGACACGAGCAAAATCGATAATCACCTTATACTTATGTAATGATTTATGATATCTTCGAATGAATTTTGGTAGAATGAATTGATAATTACATATACTAGAAAGGTAAGAAACCTGTGGAGAGAGTGATAATGATAATGAGAACACACAAAAGCTAGGGTCAAACCTGTTTGGGGGTCACGTCCGCCAAGGCGACGTAAAATTAAAGGTTCATGCGTATATTTTCCTTTTGTCTTCTTTTTTAGATCTTCCATATCCCAAAGATATCTCGGTAAAGGTTTTGTGCCGCGAGCAGGCATAAAACGCTTCGCCAATATGGACAAAACATGAGGTGAAAGATGAACGCAACGAAATACGCTTCCTACACCAGTTTGCATTTTAAATAGAGATTTCTGCAAAACATCTTCAGAATCAATGTATCACCAAATGTGAATCAATTAACTTATTAATAACGTTTAACATAGATAAAAAGAGCTTACGAAGGCCTTACTTGTTATACAAATTTCTTAGTCCTAAAAAAAACTCTACTGAAAGAGCAAAATGAATCCAACACCATTAGCAAACCATTTATATATATATTTATGATATTAAAATACAATAAAAGAAATGGTGAACTATTTACACACCATGTAATCGAATGAATTCCAGGCAAAAATAATAAATTTTTATCAAATCTGGCATATCGATCACATTTTCACGAAAGACATCAGAATTTACAAAATAAAAAACGTGTTGCAATAAAAAATTTGCACATTTATATCAAATTCGATATTCATTGATTTCTCGGAAAGAAATTGCAATACCTATCATATCATACCTCACAGTTACATGTAACAAAAATTCGAAAGGCTATATATAATTAAAAAGATTATAATGAAGCAGAGAAAAAGATAAATTTTTTGAGCACTTCTATTCAAGGATTATACATAAAAGATAAAGATCAGAATCAAATGATTTTGCTGTTAAATCATTGGCTAATCGCATGAATGCCTCATTTTGCTGCTAAAATTTAGTTCACAATCTATTCCAGAAACACTAATAATGAATGCCATTATTGGATTACTGTTAGCAATGTGAAATTAGTTATTTGTTTTAAGAAAATGAGAAACATTATAAAGTAGCAAAGAGCATGATCATTTTGTGCAAAATTTCAAAAAAACAAAATGTATTTATCGCCACGCTTAAAATTTGGTTACCAAAAAAATACCCTTCCCATATAGAATTCTTTCAAGTATTTTCAATTGATTTAATGAAACCATTCATAATTAATTTCGGTCACAAAAAGGCGCGTGTCACAAATGGGCTTAATATGCAGTATAATTCGTAATTCGAGGTAACCTGAAGGAATTCATAATCCATGTTCCCGATATTTTCTTCCAAATCTTTCATGAATGAATAATAATTAAGTAAAACGCGATTGATCAATAATAATTGAAAGTACTACGTACCATTATAAATTTAATAAAATTTAGAAATACACAGAAGTAGTAAAAAATTTCGCTTCTTCTTTTTTGAGCATTTTTAAAAGACGATCTGCATGTGCACTTGCTGATGCGCGTGTCACAAATGGGCTTAATACGCAGTATAATTCATAATTCGAGGTGACCTGAAGGAATTTTTTTTTTTTACATCACAGCAACCAATAATTCAAACTTCTTTCTTAACTTAAAACAAATATAAAGTAGACTCATAACGATACTCCACAGAAGGTGCTTTCAGTGTCCTAGAGATGAGCATTCTCTATTTAGAATAGGTTCCTCATAAAACCTTATTTAACAGATTAATCGAAACCAATAAATGATCATCGTAAATTTTCTTCGAAAGAATTTCCAATCATTTCCTACTCAATTCCGGACCATGAACAAGAATAAATTTCAATGTCTGGGATAGTTGGACTGTTGTAATATTATCATAATTTTCTTCATCTTTACCCTTTTGCTCAATCTCAGAAGAATTCGCTGCGATACTAGTCTAGTTCTATTTAACATAACATATTACAAATTTTGAAATCTTTTATTTTTATATTGTTTTGACTTTGACTGTTCAACGTACTTTAACTCACCATTATACATAGCATATAAGTTCCATACAACAGGCTTTCGATACCAGTCTATCTTCATTAAAGTGATTCAAATAATGTGTCAGTCTTAGCAGTGGAAAAATGAAAACATAAGCTTACATTCGACAGTAAACAACATTCTGGCCTTGTGATAAATAAATGCCTCAGGTTCGGTGTTCTTATCGAATAAGCAAACATTTTTTTATAATATTCTTGCAGCTTCCAACGTTCATCTTTACCGATAAATGGTAATGAATGTAGTGAACAACATATTTGGCTTGAGCATCGGTTCTTGTATGTGAAATGCCACAAATCCGAAGAAATATCCTACAAACATCTTGCATATCTTAGAAGAAATTCAAAAGTTCATCATATCTCGAATTTTTAACTGGGAGGTATCATCCTAATCGTTTCGCTGGCGGCACTAGCTTATCACCGAATTCAGTTTGCGTATTTCATCACAGAGTGGAAATGACAAGTCAGAACTCTTAGCAACATTTAAGGAAAAAATATTTTCCTGTATGTTAGACAGTCAAGATGTAGAATACTAGCCTTAGTCTTATCCACCCATAGTCTCGCTCAAAAGGTTTATGTGCGATCGTGCTAAGTTAGTGTATTATTCTAGGTGGAAATTATTGGACTGGATGTCCGGACAATTTTGACGATACTTGGTATTTAACGGATTATCAGCAAAATTCTTTTTATTATTATGTGTTAAATTTGTCATATATATAACAGGAATAAAATACCGTTTGAATATCGAAGGAAGAAGGATTCTCCACGGCATTCTTTAATGAAATACGTGACTTCGATGAGCGTAACCTAGTAATAATTGCTTCTTTCACACCACGAAGTGTCTCAAATGCACCACGTTCCAGAGATAACAATAGCAAACACGCGCTACTGCCTTCCCAGATAAAAGAAACATAGGCATAAAGGAATCCCCTAAATTGTTTACAACATAAAATCACAAAGCAGATTTAGTAAAAAAGACAGCTACGGTTTTAACTACGAATATCATAGCTGCTTTCCAAGTTTTGATAAGGTCAGAGATGTTAATCTGTAAATGAATCTTACCCATATATCAATTAATCAATAAAAAATAAATGATCAGAAAAATATTTCGCACATATCTAAAGATTCCTAATACCGTACATTAATGGTCCCAATACTCCTAATAATTTCTAATACCATACACAAATATAATTTCAAAGTTCAGTAGTTTCCTGTCATGCAATACGATAGACTTCCTTCATTTCAATCATGTTATATGTTTGAAGATGCTTGGAAATGCAACAGGTCTGCCCAGATGACTGATTATTCACTTTAGGATGATAGATAAGAAAAACTTGAATAAATTATGTTTCAGGAGAAAAAAAGTACGTGTCGTTAAAATGCGGCAAGCATATAGGTATCCAATTATCAGCATTCTTCAGTGACGGATTACAATCAATAAGATTGATAATGATATGAAAATCGCATGGATTTAATGTAATACCCTTCATTCGAACTACCGTGATAAGCTGTCGATTAGCTAAAACCAATCCGTATACAACATTTTCAACCTAAAACAAGATTACTGAAAACAAAAAACAAAATAAGAGTAGTGAATAACAGGCTATAAGACATAACAGCAATATGCAGAAAAATGGAAATAAAATCTTAATAAACATAACTTTGCACTGTTGACTGCTGATACAATTGCACTTGTGAATTGCTCCCGATCTGCAAAAGCCATAGGGAATATCCGAATTGAACGCATGAATACTGCTATATCATTCCTGTAACCGCACACTATAGCATTTAAATGTCGATCTGTACCTGAAAGGGCATTTTCCACAAGCACAGTAGAAAAAGAAACGATGGGCAATAATGAAAAGTGCAAAATTGAAGCAGTATGATATTTTTATTTTGTATCCAATTAATTTGGTCCAAGTCTACCATATGGCATTATTACCAATATGTATGCATACAAGTGATTTTCCGAAACTCATGAGTACGGTAAATTCATTTGAGAAAAATTCTTTTTTATGTACTCAGAAAAGTTCATAAATGGCGTACAAAAACACATACCTTTGAGCACAAATCGCAAATCAAAATTAGGTCCTTTAGTTTCAAAAATCGAAACCAACTGAGCACGACAAATTATTGAAAGCATCTGAAATGCCAAATCTCTAGCAAAATGTCTTACTTACGCACTGACATGATGGAAAAAAGTAAATATTAGCATGCTTTTTCAGCGTCCAATCCTGTCGTACTTCCACAAAACAGGCAAAGTTTGAGAGTTGGATATCATTGGACTTCAATTTTTAAATGAAAACAAGTCATAATATATGAGTATCCCAAGCACACTCCTTCAATTGTTTAAATAGCGGAGAAAGAAGCTACCTGTTTGTAAACAAGATCCACCTGAGCACCTAACTGAAACCTGTCACGTGAAACAATACATAAGATAAGTGGACTTCGATAGGAGAACGAAATTTGTATATGACCCGAACGAATTCGTTTAAGACTGTCATTCCATGAAGTAACAACCATAACGAATGTTTGAATGAGTGCAATAAGTGAACATAACTGTTCTTCATGCCCACAGGATGCAAAAATCGGTTTGCCAACTTCCGACAACACAAATACCTCAAGCATGTAGACATGTGTTGATACATTATAAATCAAGAAGTAAATTGAACTTTAGATGGTTAAAAATGCCATTGGAATCTTTTGATAGTACCGTAAATTCACGACGTGACAATTCATCAAGCAAAGCTTCACCATCACATCTGTCTTCCTCGTATGTTCCATCATCGGCTGTTCGTAATCCCTGCAAAACTACTTACTGCAAATAAAAGCATGCACTTTCCTAGGAATGAATCGGAGTTCAGGTACCTATAAAATCAACAGAAAACAAACTGCCGCCGTCTTGTCGAGGTCAACATCAAGTTCTTCGTTTGCTTCAGGTATATTTGTGCCACCAGGCACACTTGATGTCAATTCAGATTCAGAATCCAGCTTCACTAATCCATGCAACCCATCGTCTCCACATTACCAACAACGAAACAATCCTAGATACTTTGAAATTGCTGCGCAGAAGTAGAGAGTCCTTCCCGGAATTTTGAAATATTTCGAAATTGAAATTAGCACTCTTTCGCTTCCAGATCAATTCTAAGTATATCATGACTATCAGTAAGCATCCCTTCATTAAATCATTTTATTCGTTAAAACCTCCGCTTTCTCCAAATTCATTCGCGAAACACCATTTTTTATACAAGAAAATTACAACTTCAATAGTTCGTATCTCACATCTACGAACATATGGAATCCTCAAATTCCTTGAATGAGAAAGCTTGTAAACAACTATAATAATCTGTTAGTTGACAATAACACATATATACTACTTCCTTTTTGAGAATTGAGTATTTCAAATTATAAAACGCTTAAAATAAGAATAATATTTCAATAATTTGACATTTTCGAAATGTAGAAAGCTAGGTCCAGAACTGCACTAAATTTATTCACACAATAAATTTCATCACTTGGTGAAGTTACAATTGAAGGATAAAACAAAAGATGCCATCAGGTAATCACGACTTCGAATAAAATGAAGAAAACAATATCAACAATTAAGCGATTTACCGGGATGTAGTAGTGCATAATACCCACGTATTTCCTGCCACATTTCATTTATTTAACATCAATCAGTTCTACCTTTCTTTCTTAGAAATTTACAATTTCATTGTTCTAAACGCCTTACTACCATTGTATTCATCGAATAGAAACATCCCCAATACCGAGGAGTAACATGAGTTTTTTCAATTTCTAACAAATACAACCGTATTTTTGCGGAAAACTTGCACTACGACATGACATTTTTTGAAAGTTCATCAAGCCAATGATTGCAGTAAATCATCAGACTCATCAGACCTTTTTACAATCTATTTATATTATTAAGCGAAAAAAAAACATCTAACACTGTTTCACAATTCTGATTAAGAATTCCAGTACTTTTCAACCATCCTGACGTTTTCAAAAATATTTACGGGAATTTTATAACCCCCTAATTCAAAGGATTCCACAAGAAAACAGCTTGAGCATTGATATGAACCTAATACAAGAAAAGTTTCCATCACGTACTTCCGGAAATTTTAATTGGCAAAATTTGAAATTTGCAATGTTTATAGGACTTCTTACTTTCTAGTCTTTAAAGAAGAATCAGTTCATCTTTCTGTACATGCACCATTCAATTACCATCTTTCTCCAATAATGTCTGAATGTTCTGAAAAAACACAGAACCTTAGACCAATGAATCAAGACACAAATACATTTGATTCAAATCAACATAAAAAGACAAAAAAGGAGCTATCTTATTATTCAACCTCATTCCATGAAAAGATACTAGGGCTTAAAGCAGAGTTTTAGCATAACATCGCGGTATTAAATCAGAATTCAAACTCACCTTTTGCAAAACTAGATTTTTCGACAGTGTTTCCTCTAGCATGCGCTGCAAACGCCGATTCATATCACGTATATCAGCAGCTGATTCACCCATACGAACCATTTCAAGCATACGACGAAACCGCAAACCTTGAATCACCAGCAATTATCAAGTATGAAAAAAACGAACAAACTAAAAAGCATAAACAACTTAGAGATATTTCAGCGAGGAAAGAAAAACCAATCTGAAAAACACCATACCAGGTGATGAATTTGCCACTTGCGGGTTCTGACTAGAATCAGGTATAGTACGAATCCACTGCGCAATTACTTCACTCTTTTCTTCTACTTCCTTTCGCAACAAAGCATTCTCTTCTTCGATTATATTTAACTAAAAAAATAATATTTGATATTAAAATCCACCAAATACGAAATCAGTATCACAGTATAATCCACCATCTTCCTCTTTTCTCTTTCTCCAGAAAAACATGTTTGATAAAATCTGCCAAAAATAAAGAAGCACTTACGCGGTCAATGGTTTCAGCATGTTTCTTTTGCAAAACAGCTAAATGACTAATTAATTCTGCATTATCAGCTTCTAAAATTGATGCTGAACAAGAACTTTCTTCGTCAAAATTCTGCAAACCATGCCTAATCAATTATTGAAAATGACGAAAATACTGTGAATAAACAAACATGGTATTGTCTTTAACGAAGAAAACTTTTTAGGATAAAAAAACTATTACGAATAAATATCTCAGCGACACCGAGCGCCATCCACTATTCCATTAACGTTTGGGAATAAGTAAGGTAGCTTAAATTTCATTCCGTATTTTAGCACACTGTGATAATTACAGCATTCAAAGCCAGCGATAGCAAGTTATTATAGCAAATTACAAAAAAAACATACTTGAAAAGAATTTCTGTCCGGTTCTGCCACAAATGCCCAAGAACAAATGCTGGATTCTCCATCACCTTTCATTTTGAAACGATCAGAAAGAGCAGATGGTGATCCAGCTACTCGTATTCGAGCACTATCTGCAAGTTACATTTTACCAATCACTTCATAAATTTTATTTTAAGATAATTTTCGCCATTATGATAGAAGTCATGTTATGAACATTGCACCAATCTATAAATATAATTCCATTCACTAAGATATATGAATCCAATCTTTAAGTGATATATGCAAATGTAAGTGAACAAACAAGCAAGTTGTGTGGAATGTCGCAGAAAAAAAAACTCACTATGTGTATAGACATTAGCATCACCCACGCCAAGGACATCATCCAAATGCTTTTCGGCTTGTTCAGCGCGTTTTTTCTCCGACTGCACTTGACGCCGTAATTCCTTTACCATTGAAGACTAAATAGAAAATACACATTAAATACAGTTATCAGTCAAAGACGATAGTCCCGTGCAAACTTGATATATTTGAAGCTTTAGTGCAAGGTAACGAAATTCACGTTTAAGTGAGTGAATATAACTGTTCACATCATTTAACAATAAAAAGCCTGCTACATACAAAGAAAGTTCTCGAAAAACCGACCCTGCTGAAGTGATAAAAAGAACAATCTACCTGTTTCTTGAGCGCTACTTTGATTTCTTCATCTTTTTTCTTGATCTCTTCTTCACTTTCCTTTATTTTTGCTTCTAAAGCCATTTTAGTCATCTCAAAATTCTGATTTGCTGAAGCTTGCTCCTACAAATTGGAAATGATTAATAACAAGCTCAAAATCTTTTGAATTACACCTAGATTTTTTAATAGATACTTATGAAAGAACTGGAAGATATCCCAAAAATTTGTGAAACTCATTCAATTTAAAAGAAAACTACACTTCTTCTTTAGAGCGTTGCAATTCAAGTAGATGCATATTTAACGCTTGAATTTCAGTGCTAAGTCCCTGCTTCACTTCTTCCCAAACCGCTTCTTCTGCTATCTTTTTTTCCTGAAGATTTATTGATTAGCATTTATTTATAAGAAATACTAACACTATAGTTATACTAAGATCTCCATTGAAATAGATTAAAAGGGAATAGATTAGTATAAGAGCTCGCAGCATGTACTTCTTCATAAATCTTATTGGTAGAGTTTGATATACAATCAGTGATGTCAAGCAGTACAAAACAAGTATACCTGCTCTTATAATATAAATTCATGAGAACAAACTTTTTCAGTTAAAGCTTCAGCTTTCGCAATCTGCAACTCCATTTCAAGAATGTTCTGTAATTTTTGCCCTTCTTTCAACAACGCATCCTTCTCGGAAGCAATTTTCTCGATTTCTCGCAATCTTTCACATTCCATTTCCAAACTTCGTATATATTCCTGTATTCATCAGTATATTCAATCATTTATGTTTCGAACTTCCAGAAATCGTTGTCACAAACTTAGTTATTTGATAACCAATACTGCAATTTTCTTCAAAATATTTCACCAGAATTTTACCATTAAATTGCTTTCTCTGCAAATATTACACAAAATCAGTAAACTATATACCTGCGAATCATCAGTTTGCGACTGCTCATCAGAAGTAACGACTTTTTCCATTAGTCTTCCATCAAAGTTTTGCAATTCTATGACTGCTTCTTTTTCTTTTAGGAGTTGTTTAACAACTCCTAACAGTTGCGTAGTTTCTTCTAACTCACGTTGCAAACTTGCTGATCTATAATAAGTTGAAATCTATACCGATTTACTGTTATCTTATCCAGTTAAATTATAGAGGTTCAATTTTGTTACCTTACTCGGTCCATGCTCATCTCTTGGAGTAACATTTCCTTCGATGAAAGCAATTCCTGATTAGAAGTCTTTATCTGAGATACCAGTAAGTCTTTTTCTGTAAGCATTTCTGAAAATAAAGCATCTTTTCTAATATATGAACTAAACGGTGTCAAATTATAATTTACCTTGCTGAATCTCATCGACTCAATATACTATTTGATTCATTTAAAATTTACAAAAGAATCAATAATAGGTAACAATAGAAAACAGACCTCTAAGTGACGAGACTTCTATTTCTAAATCTGAATTCTTCTTCATTAACTTCGCTATATCACTTTTATTTTGTTCTAAAAAGAATTACTGTAATTAATATATAGCGCGTCAAATAAAGAACTATAATGAAATTATATAATTTAAATTTAACTTCTTCACATCTACAGACGATACATTCTCGATAAAATGAGTACCTGGCAATTCACTAATGCTACCATTATCTCCGTGTTCTTTCGCTTTCATTTCTAGATTCTCACACTGTTTCACAACCTAAAACAAAGTTCTACCACATTTATTCAGCAATTACGTATTGAGTATCGTAACGGAAAGTACAGAAGAAAGAGCAATAAAGTCTAAAGTTTAATCAATTCAATAATTAGCAATCACTTCGAAATTTCAAATGAATTGATTAAAGCTCTGCAAATTAAACTTTTTATATTTAGTAAAAAGTGCCTAGAAAAAAAGCAAACGATCAAAAAAGGGAACGAAAAAATAAAGATCCTAAAAAGAAAGGGGATTAGGGAAGGGTGTCGCACTAATCCTTCGACCTATTTTTGTGGTTAGGACTCATGTAGTGAGACTCCATTATCAGATTTGGAACGCTCGATGAATGGTGCGGAAGAGTGGAATATTATATGTCCACGAAATAAAACTAGTATTGATAGTCCTTCCAATCTATTTGTCTTCTCTTCTTTGATTTTTATTCGGAAAAAAAATATCCCACTAACTTTTAGGTTTCAAATCAGCAACCGAGCAATAGACTCCAAAACATCTGGCAGACGCTTTATAGCTAATAGTCTGAATTAACTCTTTCCTTCATGTTGCTTAACATCAGAATAACAGTATACCAAAATAACAATCACGGTAAAAGTAGAGTAAACTGATAATGTAAAAAAAAGGAGGCGAATGATATGTCCGATCTCAAACACCATTTATAGCCCAAACTGAAGAACTGTAACTTATTTATGCAAGCTTAATCTACTTAACAGAAAAAAATGACCGACTTGCATTGAAAATAATTACTTGCTGGCTAAAAACTAAATAGTTTAAAAAGTAACCCAAGATGTAAATTAATTAACCCTATTCAGTTCTGAAAGAAGTGTTGATTGTTGCAGCCGAAACTCCTCCTCCTGCGATGATAATTTATGCTGCAGGAGACGAACTTCACTTTCTAGCTTTTCATTTGAGTTATCCTTGTCCTTCTTTCGACCAACAAGCTAAACTTCTTTAATTAAACAAAATTCATCATCATCTCGTCTAATCGTAATACGTTCTGATAGAGATATCATAGCTATTAGTTTCCACTTTAGTAGTTTCATCTATCATATTAAGATGCTAATGCTATCCTTTAGTATGTCACATCTGGCACGGTTCATTCCTCCGCCAGATATAGAAGACAAAATATCAACAAACCAAAGGACAGTTAATCACTAAAACTACACAGTTCTATGGATATTTGTAAATGAATTCTCCCAAAACTCTCAATAATCATAGTTTCTGCAAGTATTTGCAAATGAATTCTTCAACGAAATTCCTAAGCTCAAGTTGATAGTCACATTTTTTGATGAAAACCATCAATCTATTGCGAAATTCATAATTCATACCTTAGAGGCAAACAGCAATGCTTCCGTGCCTTTGGACGGTAAATTACTGATGTAATTTTGTTGACGTCTATTCTCCTCCAATAAATCGTAGTTGCGATTCCGCAGTTCTAGAAGCTGTTCCTGGAGACGATAGAATTCTTCTTCGGATATCGATGCGTTTGTATTATTAGTCGTTCCACTTCTCAGTTCATCATCAGGAAGAGTATCATTAGTAAGAGTCATCACTTTGTTATACAAATATTATTAAATCTGCAATTATTTGATGATTGCAACCAGCTATTTGCAGTCCTCTACAATCTACGAGTTCCATCCCTCAATAATAATTTATATAGTTATTTTCAACGTAGCAACCGAACATCAAAAAACTCAAAATTCCACCTTATAACCAACCGTGGATAAAGAAGAAAAAAAGCTTCGACGAATCCACTTCCAGCTTCGAACTTGATTTCACGAGAATGCAATGAAAATTTGCATTTCACTACTGTACATTTGCCAAACTATTTGAATTTGTTTTGAAGAGTCTTAAAAAGGAAAAGAGAATCGAAAGTGTCGACGTTTAGCAAACGTTTCGCATCGCGAGTTCGTTTCCTGGATGAATCACTTTTTTTGCTTTGTATTTTTGCTCTGTAATAATGTTACAAATAACCGGACAATCTCTGTAATAACGTTATCTTTAGTAATCTTTAGTACCGGACAATCTTTAGTGATTCTAAATGATTAATGAATTAATGTGGTATTATTCTGATGGCTATTAATGGTGATTCACGATCACTAACTAAACGATTGATAACGATATAGTGATAAGCAAGGTTTAATAAATCCTAATTCTTCTATCTTGTTATTTTGGCTAATTTATGCAAATTTATATCTTTTCCAGTGTTTTTTTCTCCGATCTGTACATCTATTTGTTACCAAAAAAACGACATAATTCTCATAATTTATATCAACCTTATTTGTACTATAATCCATCCATGCAAAATTATCATTTACGAATTCATCGTTCTTCGTTTGAATATGATAGAATCATTAAGAAATCTTTTTGTTATCTTTATGATTGGTGATAAGTGCCGCTATTAAATTGTCATTAATTTATTGGAAATGAAGTAATAACAGAGAATATTGGAATGATTTAGTGTAATAAAATATGTTGATAAGTACAATTTCGTTTAAATTATCATTAATCAAATTATCATTAACAAACTTCCTTTTACAATGCCGATTGATTACGCATTATAGAAAACATATTGAAAAAAGAAGTCCAACAGTCAAATCAGTATGAGGTAATATAACTAAATGATATGTATGAGAATATTAGCGAGAAGATACAGTAAAATGTATCAGCTAAGTAAAAAATTTCTCAAAATAAATTTAGCAATATCATTGCAAGCAGCACCTAATCGTTATTAATAATAGGTTCACGTGAAGGTCGATGTGTTGTTGAAGTGAATGGCGCAATTGTGCCTGGTATAGTTGATTGATATTCCGCAATGAAACCTTTCTGTTCTTCGGATTCATCCGTAATCAAAAGTAGTAACAAATTTCTTCCAGTTGATGTGAAAGATGGTGGTAACTTGAAAAGTTTAATTTTTTATTAAAATATTTAATGAAACTTATCATAACATTGAATTGTAGCAGTATTGATATATGATGGAACATATATTTCCGAAAGTTCAAAACATTCTACGTATTTCAATAAAACCTATCAAAAGGGTGGATTTATAATAAAAGTTGGGTGGTATTGTGAGTCTCCATTTTGTGATGCACGCAATCACCAAAAGATGCATTGCAGGGGATATTTGGGTAATCCCGGTGTTTCGTGTATTTTATTTTGAGATTATGAAACGAATTTACCTTATCACCACAATATCGAGCCACACGATATTCTTCCAAAATCTCATCTCCATCATAAATCTCAATATAATCGAACTCGCAATTTGCCTCACGTTCTAAATCAAATTGTGCAAAACGAATGTTTACGCCGCGATTTGGTTCCGCCAAGATTCTCCATTCACATCTGAAATCAAAATTTAATGCAAAAATTTCATTTCAATGTTTAATTACACGTATGTAAGCTATTAATCGCATAACTGATCATCTGATAAAGCTGAAATACTACGACCATTTCAGGTTTCAGGTTATTTTGGAAATCCTTTTCTCTCTTACTACAAGTAAAAAGAAATGATCTGCAAGTAATTCATATTATAAATTTGCGATAATATCATTTTACCTCATCTTTTTCTCATATTTGCCATCACTATAACGAGCATGAGAGTAAATATAACCAATAGTTTGTTCAGCTTTCAAATTACCACCACAAACTGAAATCATACTATGAAATCAACAAGAAATCATAACATCATGACCAGAATCGGAAAATCAATTTCTTGAGAAGTTAAATATTCATGAGAAATTTGAGGCCAAAATTATAATCCATTCAAATTTATACAATCAAAATTCATATCAGCTCTTTTAGAATTATTATCTGTTAATGATCAATTTCTCCTTCGTCTGTCATCACATAATATAAACTTCTTATACGAGTTCAATGTTTTTCTTGCTCTGAAAATCTATTTAAGGCCTTGTGATTCAATAATATAATAAGGATACGATATATTTATTATTTGACATACTTGAGGAATAGAAAGCCTTAAATCCACGACGATCAACGCTATCATCCGTATGCATTATCATGAATAATTGATTAGAGGATGATTGTAAATTTGGTGGTACATCACTACCGCAAAAAATTCCCAAAGATGTAGCATCATTGTTACTACCATCAAATACCTCAATATGGTCGTATTTGCAGGTATTGTGTTCTTCAAACATGAATTCTTCAAATGACTGCAAAGTGTTCTTTTCAATTTTACAGCAATATAATTAATATGAAAAAGATTATATATGCTGTGTTTGTATCACTTATTCCTGTTTCAGTTATCCGGACATGTTACCTTTCGTGTTACCTTTCCTATTTCGGAAATTTTCTGAAATTTAAATTTCTGAAAATTTTTTTAGAATTCACTGCAAAAATAAGAATTTAAATAGATAATTCGTTCTTTTGTTTCAAAAAACTGAAATTAAAATGATGTAAATAAACATGCTAACAAGTGAAAGACGATGTCCTGGTGTAGTAACAAAATGCCAGTTGCAATTCTTTCCTTTTGGATAATCAAGTGGATAATTTGGTGAAGTAATTTCACCTTCCGGATCACATAGTTGTAAATTACATCCACCCTCTTTACAGTTATGTCCATCATCTGCCAAAACATAACCACTTTCACATTCACACTGATATGAACCTGAAAATTTTTTCAACTTTAAAATTTGTTTATAGTTGCATAAAGTTGAAAGCTATTTATGTGAAGAAATAAAAGAACAATAAAAATATATTAAGATTCTGTGAGAATAAAATTCACCAAATTATCCTGTCTGATCGATTCGCAAAATAAACTTACCAATTTAATCTATTGCGAAATAAACTTGTCAATTTAATCAATTTAAACTTATCAATCTTATCAAATTACTTATTCTATTATAAAAATTGTTTTAAAAAATCATTACTTAATTTACTATATAAATATTATTTATTAGTAATCATATAAAAAATTACAAAATGTACTAATTATTTAAGAAAATTTAATAAATGAAACAAAAAAGAAAGGAACAGAGAAAAAAAACCAATTGTATTTATACAACGTTGTTGACAACCGGCATTGTTATTACGACATTCATCCAAATCGGTGATAAAATATGCCATGAAGCCACTTTTTTCTATCTGTAAAAACAACAAATAAATTGTTTAGGAAAAATATAGGTGAAAGGAAAACTTTTTCATCACAATGCTTCAATTTACTACTTTCTCATTTCTTTCTTTGTTTCTTATCAGTTCAATTTATAATTATCAAATTTTCATTTAGTCATATAAAAATTTATAGCAAAAAATAAGAAACAAAAAAAAAAACTACTAATTAATAATTTTGCTTGTTTTAAATTAACAATTGAATTTAGCTTTAGGTTAATTACTAAAAAAACAAAAGTGAAATTTTTTTTTAAAAAATCAAATACTGCACCGTATTATCGGAAACGAATAAAACTTTAATTCGATTTGTTGTTGATGTATATACCAATGAATTATAATGTCCACAATAGCGTTCTTCTATTCCTTCATCATTTTGGATGAGAACATAATCGTAGGAACATGCTGATTTCATTCCTTCCACATCAAAATTTGTAAAATTAACAATAATTTGATATTCATCATCAGCTTCAATTTGCCAAACACATGTTTTGAGTGGTGCATAATTTAATGGATAATTTGGACTATGAAAAGTTCCACTTGATGCTTTTATAATACCACCACATGTACCTTTAAAACAAAATGATTAGTATTAATTTAAAATGTATAATTTGAATTAATTGATTCAATCAAATTGATTCATTTCGTATGAATTGTAAGAATACGGTAAATAAAAAATTATAGTAATTTTTTAAGCTAATTAATAATTTCCTACTTTGGCAAGTTCTTCCATCTGAACGCAATAAATATCCGATATTACATTCACATTCATAATTACCAATTTTATTCACACAATGATGCTCACATCCATGATTATTTGATTTGCATTCATCAATTTCTTAAATTTAATTTTAATTAGTATTTTTCTTTTTAATATTACAATTTCCTTAATTTATATTCATTACATCCTGTTTAATAATAATAATAATAATAATAATAATAATAATAATAATAATAATAATAATAATAATAATAATAATAATAATAATAATAATTTTGTTTATATTCGTTTTACGATTTATGCAAAATATTAAATTTAATAATAATATTTATGCAAAATATTAAACCGATGAAATTATTCATTTAAAAAAAGAACCTTTGGTGAAACTAATATGAAAACCTTCTTTTTGCACCGAACTATCCGAAATAAACAATAACAGAGCGGTATTGAAATGTGAAACAACTGATTTGTTTACTACCTGTAATGAAGTAATTAAAAGTATATATTAGAATTAATGATCTATTAAATAAGAATAAGACAATGACTATTGCTATTGCAACTTTATGATAGTTTTTTGAACTTTCAAATTTTTATTTTTAAATCGAAACTTTGAAGATTGCTATAAGTCTTAAATAAAATCATTGAAGATTTAATTATATACTGATTAATACAAATCAATATTTACTGACAGTTTTAATTAAAACAAAGGGAATTCGATAATTCTAATCTATGATTCATTGATTTATTATCAAGCAAAATGCAATAACACATTGAATGATCGGTTACTTTTAATGATGGATTATAGAGATACTCATTTAAACGCTTATGTTATTAAAACAATCAAATAACTTTTACCTGACCGCATAATTTAGAAAGTAGTGCAGTCGATTCAACCACTGTACCATCGTATATTTCCAATCGATCATATATGCAATCTCTATGTGTTTCAAGCTAAATTTAAATTTTCATATCATAATTTTACTAATGATTGTTGTACAAAAATTATAAAATCAATTCCACGGATAAAGAAATGGCTAAATTTAAATAGAAATTATAAATTTCAAATTACAAATTATTGATAAATTACGAGAAAAAAAGACTGATAATAAATCAAATATAATTGTAATCGGAAAATTTCAATCATCTTTGATACAATCCCTTCTCAATCCTATCAAAGAAGAAAATCCTTCAATCATTCCTTAATACAAAGGTGTAATTTTAGTATAATGAATTTTGCAATCATTGCACTAAAATCGATGATGAATCCTAAAATTTAGCTTCAATGATTTCTAATAATCCTATCATTTTTTTAATATCCTATTTTTTCTAAATATCTGAATCTCTAAATATCCTATTATCCTAAATATCCTAAAATATCCTAAATATCCTATAATAAAAGATAAAAAGATAAATATCCTAAATATCCTATAAATATTTTCTAAATATCCTATTTTTTCTAATAATCAATAGCTTATCAGAAATAACTAACATTAAAAAAATGAAATGTTAAAGCAACTTGATAGCCTTCTGGAACGGTAATAAGCCATTTACATTCCTCATCAGGCATATAGTTTTCCGGATATCGTGGACTTTGTATGATACCAACATCACTAACAATATGTCCACCACAAACAGCTGAAAAATTGTGCCACAATTTGTTACTTATTTTAAATTAATTATTGATTATTAAATCAATAGAGTAATATAGAAAATGGAATAATAAAAAATATTTTTTCACAACACAAAACACAAACTAATATAATGCGCAAAGATGGAAAATAGTGGATAGGATGTTTGCGTTTGAATAAAAAGCCTATTGCCAGTTGAAATGATTGTACGTGATATTACGCCACCACATAATTTATCTAAAATAAAGAATGATAAATGAAATTGAAATTATTAGCAAATAATATTGTGATAAAATATAAATGATAAAATTTAGAATAACTAAGTTGTATATTTAAATTAAATTTTAAACTTAATATTTAAATACATCTAAACTAAATTCAAAATGATCTGATATACCTATACACTATCTCAAATGTTTTACATTTCAAAATTTTTCATTACAAATTACTTAATAATAAGTAAAAGACGAAAAGAAAGATGTAATGAATAGAGACGACAAGAAAGATATAATGATCGATGATAAATGAATTGGATTATTTAAGAAATTCGAAGAAAAAATAAACCTGAAATAGGTGAACCACTGTAATGACCATCTCTAACAATTAAATAATTATCCCTTTCTGAGGCACAATCACGTTTTGGTAATGGTAAATCAAGGGTGGAAATATTGAGAACAATAAATTCACCAAATGCAGCAATGATACGCCATTGACATATGGTACCACTACCATTTAAACGTAACTCACCAAATTCTTTCACCAATGTTTCACCGCAAGCTAATGAAAGATGATTAATAAATATTAAATGAATAAAGCAATTGTAATAATATCATTGAAAATTTTATTATCAAAATTAAACTTAAGTTTAGAAAATAATACAACTGATCATGTGCCATAAATTAATTAGAATTTTGTTTTAAAGAGCCTAAATGCCTAAAAAATAAATGAGACTAAGTGATAATCGTTTTTATCAGAAGTAATATACAGTAGTAATATTTAAATTCCCGATATCTTTTTTTACAAATATTTTGAATCTACTTAATCATTCTTCTACTCATTACTAATTAGTTTGCTGGGCTATTTAAGCTAATTTTTTATGAGAAATTACAGTTAATATATTTTAAATTAAATTTTGAGTTAAAACAAAAGTTTTCAAACCAATTATTTTACTGAATTGATAAGATCTTAGTGTATGATAATTATTATTAATAGAATAATCATAATTTAATATTCCATGAAAACATTCGAAATTAAATACTCAAATTAATTGAATTAGATATTTATGAAAAAACCTGTGCATTTATAAAGTTTCTTCGTTTGTGAAATATCGCCCGGTGATAATTGCGTTCGTTGGCCAATTTCTGGCCGTTCACCAAATTTTCCTTTTGGCAAAATTGTGTCCAAATACATTGCTCGAGAAAATGTATCACGAGAATAGTGCATAATCGATGCATAATCATATGGCTCTCCGAGTGAATCAATCTCATCGGGTTTTAATTTCTCAAAATTATAATCTTGCGCTAAAATTTATCAAATTTAATTTCCTCTTGAAAATATCATTTGTATTTTGAAAAAGAAAAATTAAAGTGATATATCTTTTCAATAGGCAAACCATAAATGGTTATTAAGTTATGTGATCATTTTTGAGATGTATGAAATATGAAATTTGTCGAAATTACGCCTTTCAATGATTGAAAAAAAAAAGATGATTGAGTGATATCAATTAAAACTTAAATAGATTTCTATCAAATTTAAAATTATCTCACGAAATCATTTAATAGTATAGGAATGAATGGGAAATGAATATGATAATTGATGTAAACAAGCTATTGTATCAATCAATTCTTTTTGTTTTAAATAATATTATTATTAACCTTGCTGAATGCTTTTGTAAAATATATCAACATGTTGATCACGATCCAGACGTGTATGCTCATGCCAGAAGCCAATCACATGGCCTAATTCATGTACAACAATTCCGAATTTATCACAATTCTTTCCAATACTTATCGCTTGTGGTCCATTACTTTTCCTGCCAACATATGAGCAACAGCTGCAATTATTACACATTATTTCGAGCAGTAGAAGTGTTGAAACATTGCAAAAGTCGACAAATTGATTATTAACATTTTATCATTAAGCGATAGAAAAGGTCAAATATTTGAAATTGATAATAACAATTCACATATTATAATCAAAAGATAACTTGAAATAAAGAAAGCTAAGCTAAAAAGATATTGCATTTGTGGGTTTTTAGTTTGATAATAAGAAATTAACAATCTTCGCTTAATTAATTAATAATTATTGGTGAATGTTTGAGAGAGGTGATATTTATCAGTCAGATTAGACAAATTTTGGCTGATATTTTAATGTATCATCGAAGTGCAATAATATTCCGGATATCATCCTATTCAACAATGATAAACGATTTACCCGCATTTATCGACGGTAAAAACGATGTAATTAAGATGTTCCGGTTGACGTGGTATAAACGTAATGCATGTGTTATTCTCCCAATGGCGCATAGCCCTCTGAAATAAACGCTTATGTTCACCTGCGGAATGGAACAACTGTTCCGTGATGTTGAGTTACCTGTAAAATTATCTGATATATCGTATGGTATCACACCATTTGGCCATAATCGTTCTTTGTGTGCTGTTGCTGCTCTAATTTTCCTCCTGAAAATCACTGATAAGAAGAATTTTCGAAAATTTAAAAATTTTCCAATTCATTATCTAATATAGCTATAAATCTTTAAACAATTAAATAATTGAAAAAAGTTCATTCGAAATCTAACCTAAATTGATATCTATTTCGATTTATCATCGTATTTTTGCTAATCTCAGGAAATTCCATCAATGATATTGATGATGGTGGTATTGCTGCCGCTGATGCTATTGATGATGGTGATGATAATGATGATATTGATGGTAATGCTAATGATAACCATAGAAAGTAGTGATTTCGATATTGTTCATTTTGATAATATTGTAATAATAGTTCCGATCCAATATATCGTTGTACTGTCGATATATGAAGGAAAAGAAATGAAATAACTGGAAATGATAGCATAATAAAGCTTAGCCCAAGAAGGAAATTAGGCTTAGCATACTCTAATTAATACTTCAATTCTTTTTTTCTTTTTTCTTTTAATTTCACAATTTCAGATCGAGCAGTGTAATGATGATATACAGATAGATAGTCAATCCTTCGAGTTAATTAAGCGAAATCGAAGGATAAATATATAAACGAATAGGGGAAGGAAAGAGTAGCGTTGTTGATTTTCCAAATGATATTGATGAAAATGGTGAGATTGAAGGAGGGAATGAGTGAAATAGATTGAAATTGAAATATTGAAAGATAAAGGATGAACGTTGAAATTGACGTATTTCAACGAACACTCTCACTCCTCCTTTGCAGATGAAGAAGAAGATTTTAGCTAATGGAACAATTTTACTCTTTCCTCTCTTCACTCTTCTTTCATCATTTTTAATGATTCCCCATCTCTTCGAACAATTTCTTCATCACTTATCATTTTCAGCTAATTAAAACCTTTCTATGATTATAGAATCAATTAATAATTAACAAATGTGAATAAAATTTATCTTAAGGAAATTTTTTTCTTTAATAAAGCGAAAAAATTCTATACAATTTAAAATTCTTAATGTTTGATTAATTTATTAAAATATTTGTTTTAAATATAATTGCTAACAATTAATTAGATATATTGAAATACGATGATAATGACCCGATGATACCATCGTTATTATTTATTCGACTTGTAAGATGAAAATGCATCATCAAAATATTTTTTGTTCATTCCTTCATTTTTATACGACTTAATCGAATTGATAAAATTTTGAAATGTTAATTTGAAATTTATATTCTTTAATCTTCTTCCCCTTAACAGATTTGACAGTATCGTATTAGGCATGAAGTCCGAATTCATCATCAGAATTTGTTTATCAAATGCTTCCAATAATAAAGGAAAAATTTCCAAGCTTGAAGATATCAGTTGATAATTTTTTTTTAGCTCTTAAATTATACATCTAATTATAATGATAAATAAATAATTATCATAATTACAAAATTCTTCCATCTTTTCTTTTCCCTTTTTTGTATCATTCATTAAAATGATAATTAATAGAATTAATATAAAGAATTTTCATTTTCACGCGCTTTGAAGATGAATGATAGAATTCTAAAAATATCATTTTATATTTTTATTTCAAAATACATCGTAACTAAGAATAGTAAATGAAAACAAAACGGATTGAACAACTAATTGATAAATGATAAGAGCAAAGAATTGGTACGAATGATGAAATATCAAATTACAATATAGTAGAAGAGAAAGTTTATATATCAAATTCAAAAATGAAATTATTAACTTCCTATTAGAGAGAGAAAAAGAAATGAGAAGTGATAAAATAAGAAGAGTAGAATTTTGAATTGAATTTAGCTAATTGTTTTTTGAAACATAGCATATAATTAAGTTTGAAAAATTAATTATCGAAAAACGAATTTCGAACTTTTTTCTTTTCTCTCTTTTTGTCACCAATTTTATCTCTTCTTTCTATTGTTTCCAATTTTTTCCAAACAATGATAAAAATTATCTATCGTATTAAAATTTGAATATCTTCAAGAAATGGGAAGGAGATAGAGAATATGGAACATTTATTTCAATTTCACTTCAACGTTTCAAACTAGGATATTCATTTACTGAAGAAAGGCTAAAAATCTTGGCTTCTGAGATAGTCTAATTATCTAATATTTGTTTTCAAGTAATCATTTAATTAAAATGTATGCAATTAAAAAAAAGGAGGAAAAAAATGTTTAATTAGAAAATATCATAAAAGTTATTATTATTACTACAATAGGTAAGTTATAAGCCAAGTTATTTGGCCTCATTACATCAATTAATGATTCCAGTTTAAAATACAAGTTGAAGATCATCTGATGAGATCAAACTTATATGATTGCATTTTACCATTAGCTGAGATCAAATTCTATTGCGATTGTAATTTGCTAATTAATGAGATTAAATATTATATAGAATAGAAATATACAATTTATATCATTAATAAAAATAGGAAGCATTAAAACAAAAAAATAATCTATAAAATAAAATTACTAACAATAAACTATTTTAAAAATTTAATTAATATTTTTATTTCAAATTCAAAATAACTATATCAGTTCAATTTCAAAATAACTATCTAAAAATATACCAATGATAAATAATAATAATAATAATAATACAACTGATATATGGAATACATAAAGAAAATAACACTATAATGAACAATGAAAATTCTTTGTAAAAATCACTATCATAAATTTACTAAATAGAAAATACATATACATATTGGAAAGAGAGATTTTTCTTCTTCTTCATCTTCTAAGAGAAAAGAAAAGGAATTATTAAATTGTTGCAAAATAAGAAATGAAAGTTGAAAATAGAAACGAGCGAGCAAGATGATACACACAACAAACAATTTGTAATTATTAATAATTTCGATTTATATTGTCATATGGAATGAAATTATTTGTCAGTTTCACGAATATATGGTAACAACTTCGGTACCGGTACCTCTTACCAATAAAATTTTCTGCAAACCTTCCGTTAATGCTTCAATAAATTCCATATCTGTAAACAAGAAGGCATTTCGATATATATATTATCAAAGGTATCATTTATTTCTGTCTGTTACAACAAACTGTTTCATTTATTCGTATTGATAAATTGATTTTATCAATTTCTTTTAAAAAAAAATTTTTTCGTTAGCTTAAAATTTAAATCTTAAAATAACAATTGCACTAGTAAGATTTAGTTGCATTTTCTTAAGATAATTCATTCTGATACTTCCCGTATAATACATATCGAATATAATCGGTTTTTGAAAGTGATTTTAATTAGCTAATTATGCAACAGTAATATTTTCAAAATTTAGCTAAAAATTTAGGGAGAAAATTTAGTCCATTCTTCTGTCATTTGCAGATGAGATCAATAGATTGATCGAATTTCATTCACAAAAAATTCATAGGAAGAAAATTTTACGTTAGCTTAAAATTTAATTCTTAAAATAACAACTTCTCTAATAAGATTTAGTTGCATTTTCCCTAAAAATAATTCATTCCGAAACTTCCCGAATAATACATATCGAATATAATCGGTTTTTTAAAAAGACAAACTTTACGATAATTAAGCATTCTCCATTTAATTGATCTATTAGTCAAACTATAACTTTGAAATCTTTCAATTTTGCAGTAAATTTTTGAGGGAAAAAATTTTTTCTTAAAGAACCAACAATATTGTCCACTTCCAAGATCTGGTGGTCCAGGTAAATTAACGATAACAAGTTGCGCATCAAGACTTTTCTCTCGCATTAATTCATTTAGTTTCACAGCGGTATGCATTTTTCGTACATTGAAATTTTTCCGCATCACACCAAAGCATTCATTTTTGATAACAATATTGTTTGATCTTTCATCACTGATTAAATTGATTGGTGATGATAATTCATTATCAAATATTTCCGAACTTTCCGGCAAATCTTTTGCATCATTTTCATTCAGCGTCTGAAAAAAATTCAAGTGATTTATGATAGTTAATTTTATCAAATGGTTAAAATACAACATGAGAACATGATATCAACTAGAGAAATCTTTTTCCCCGAAGAAAACTATTGATAGTTAAAGTTATTGGGGATAATTTTGAAAATCGGTCATATATAAGGTATGCATTAACTAATTGAATGATATCGTGTTATCAAGGTCTAAAAATTATAAAAATGATGTTATCAATTGATAGTTAAATGAAATAATACAATATCATCTTCGCTGAAGTGAACTCGAGATTGTTCACTTCTATCGAGTGTTGTAACCTCGGTCAATTCACCTTCTTCCATTATTATTTCTGTTGGCTCAGTTATTTTTTCAGTCTGCAACATTTCAAATAATTACAGGTAAACGTAAATTCAAAAAAAAAAAAACATAATGAATTTCAACTACTTCAATTCTTCGTATGAAATTTATTTCTGATCTTTACAAAGTTGTAAAACAAGATAGAAATAAATCCCTTTCAAATTAAAGGAATTGGTAGTATGAAAAGGTGTGAAAAATTACGTATCAAAATTATCATCAAATAACATTTATCATTTCACTTTCTTTTTTCTCAATTTTTCAACTAGCAAAATTTAACAAAACCTTGACATGCAACAACTGATCCTCCTCAGCGATACGAGATAATTTCCTTTCACGAGCCGCTTCAACAACAGCTGACTGAACATCCAATTTTCTTTCACCAACTTGCATATCTTTCAACAGTCGTACCCTTTCTTCCATTTTCATTGTTCGTTCATATGTATATTCTGAGATATCCGAATCAGGCTGTAGAAAAAGGAAAGAAAATGAAACAGATAAAAATTTATAGAGAGAAAAATTAAAAGTGAAGAAATTTGAAATGGATGAAAATTACAATGAAATATGAAAGTTTAATCAATCAATTAGTAATTACTATTAATTCATTAAATATCACCCAAAGATTGATTGATAAAAAGAAGAAAAAAAAATGTTAATAGAAATGATAAGAAAAATCCTATTAATTATCATTATTTATATACTTATCTAAATTATATTTAATTGTGTCATATTTATTGATTATAAAATAAGTAAACTGATTGGTATAAATCTTGAAATACTTATATTATTAATTATTTCTATTAATTTGCTATAATAAAAATTATTGACAGATGAAATAATTAAAATAAAATTACAAACCAATTCGATGACAAAAACTTGAGCTTCAATTCGTAAATGATATAAAAATGTTTCCAAATCTTTCTTCATATTAAACGTATTATCATCCATTTGAGCAATTGTAAATAATCTTAAACGTGTATTACGCCAAGTTTTATTTTGCTTTAAAAGAAATGGTAAAAGCATTAATAAACCACCATCGTGTACAATCCACCAAACATCTAAATAACCATGTAGCTGAAAGAAATAATTATAATAAATAGTAAAAGAATAAACAGAAAATTTTCCATTTATATTATATTATCGATTTA